AAATAATTATATTGTAATGCTTAAAATTTATGAAAAATAAATGTATAAGATTGTAATACATTACATAATAAGTATTTGTGTGGTTACAATTTTTTTTAGTCTTTTGATTTTTTTTTATGTGCAATGCCCTTCTATTTTCCTAATTATATACAATTATTTTACCTTATCTTTTTCTTTTCTTTCATTATTAATTTTCGTTATATATATATATTAAATCATAAAGGAGAAGGGATAGAGATACACCTTTTTGTTTTCCTTTTCATATATATAAAATGCTACCCTATACATTAAATAGGGTAACATTTTATATTTACACCCTCCAACATTAGCCCACCCCATAAAATGCTACCCTATGCATTAAATAGGGTAGCATTTTATATTTACACCTCCCAACATTAGCCCACCTCATTCTCATTGGTATTTATAATCAAGACAGTGAAATTAAATCTATGAAAACAAATAATTATATTGTAATGCTTAAAATTTATGAAAAATAAATGTATAAGATTGTAATACATTACATAAGTATTTGTGTGATTACAATTTTTTTTAGTCTTTTGATTTTTTTTATATGCAATGCCCTTCTATTTTCCTAATTATATACAATTATTTTACCTTATCCTTTTCTTTTCTTTCATTATAATTTCTGTTATATATATATATTAAATCATAAAGGAAAAGGGATAGAGATACACCTTTTTGTTTTTCTTTTCATATATATAAAATGCTATCCTATGCATTAAATAAGGTAGCATTTTATATTTATACCCCCAACATTAGCCCACCCCATAAAATGCTACCCTATGCATTAAATAGGATAGCATTTTATATTTACACCCCCCAACATTAGCCCTCCCCATTCCCATTGGTATTTATAATCAAGACAGTGAAATTAAATCTATGAAAATAAATAATTATATTGTAATGCTTAAAATTTATGAAAAATAAATGTATAAGATTGTAATACATTACATAATAAGTATTTGTGTGGTTACAATTTTTT